GGCGGTCTAAACCGATCATTTTCCATTGAGTGACCTATCTCATGAAATTTTAGCAGACATTCGAAAATGTGTCTACGATTGGGAAAGATTACTTGGGTGAAGTTTTAATATTAGTTGTCACGTGGCATGCTCTCACAATATGTCGGAATAGCGTGAGTATTGACTTTTGAGTGCACTTCTTTGCGATTTCCTGAAAAATGCGCAGTCACTAAAAATGACTGGTAATTAATGTGCATTAATCTCGCTTATTTTCGATAGTTTTACAAATGTGCCCTCTTTTACTCATTCGGTAGCAAAGCAAATCGTTTTACATCCTTTACTCGGCAAAGGGTTTATAAATAGTTTTTTAAGTGTTTTCCATCTCCTAAATAATTTTGAGCCAGATCAGCCGTTGCGCCAGCATTTTACGATTTCAGTTTACAAGATGAATGTTTTCCGCATAAGAAAAATCATACATACATCTATGCCTTCGAGAAGATGTCACGTAGATTTCGTAAAATTTTTCGATGGATGTGGACTATGTTCCATACTTCATGAAAAGCATTTATAAAGGGACACGTGCGATGCTGCATTAATGAACTTTGCACGGTCTTATCATTATAAACATTTTAAAATCGAAAAACTCTCTCGCTCTGAGTATAAAATGTGCAAATGACGCGCTTTGCTACCAAATAAGTAAAAGAAAGCGCATTTCTGTCCACTTTTTCTAGGAAATATATTCAAATTTGTAGGACTATCGAAAACCAGCGTGAAAAATACACACTAATTAGCAATCATTTTTTACTGATTGCGCATTTTGCAGGAAATCGCAAAGAAGTGCACTCAAAAGTCAATACTCCCGCAATCCCGACATATTGTTGGATCATGCTACATGACAACTAATATTACAACTTCACCCAAGTAATCCTTCCCAATCGTAGACACATTTTCGAATGTCTACTAAAATTTCATGAGATAGGTCACTCAATGGACCGTGATCTGTTTAGACCGCCCTACCTTTCCATACATTGCTTCCATCCTGCCGCTTAGGCAAGTGTCTCTTTAAACGCATTCCCTCGCTCTGCCAATTGAGGAGGCTACTTAAATGACGGCAATTTCCGGTGGGTGAACACTCCACTTTTTATGCGACGAAAACGAGGAGGAAAAGGACTTGGAAAGCTTTCTTGAACACATGAACAGCCGCAAAACTATAAAGCATCTTTTACAGTGGAGTACTGAGTCACTTTGAAGTCGAAAAACTAACTGGACTGGTAAATACCACATGTACTATGAAGTGCTCGTTAGGTTCATGCATTTTTGCGCCGATTTTCGAAAGTCTTATTATTTCAAATAACTTTTCATAGAAAATATGCACAAAGATATGTTTTCCCTCATTGATTTGGTCGCAGATCACATCTTCTTCACGTTTTACACCAGATGGTTTCTAGTTAGGCGATTTTTGAGACCGTGTAATTTTCGCTCATACAGCCTCGTACCTGTTCGTCTAGTAATGCTTCTCAACATGGTCCGCATCCAGTGCAAAATTTCATGAATGATGTCTTCTTAAAAGCCTAGAATAATATATTATTTTCCCTTCGGGGAAAATATACATTTTGTAGACTGACATCGCCTAGATCTAGAGTACTTGCTGTTCCGACTCAAAACTATTCAGGGGGTGGGGAGGGGTGGAGTTGAAAGCAGTTTTACACAATTACCTCTTTCGTCGTGTTTGCTGATAGGTGCTCTGTTTATCATTTGTCGAAGCAGTCACTAGAGGACCGCCGTCCACTCGACGACTACGACGTTCATCCGTCAATAGGTTGGAAATCTTACTGACATAACCTGTATTCCAAGCTCGTACGCGCCTCAAGGACAGGCCCTTCGACCGCCAGACGTCCTTGCTGTCTCCCACTTCCAGCCGTCTGCGTACCCTCACTCGATAAAAGACGGCTGCGGAGACCAGTATAGGCCTCCGTTTTCCCCCGCACTGATCACCGTCTCCCTACCCCTAATGAACCCATGATTCAGCGATTTTTCATAGACAAGATAGCTGATACCCCGCCCCTACTTGGTTAACTTCTGTGCGGAAATTATTAAAAGTTTGATAACCGGTGCTACCAATAAGCTGAAGGGCCATCAGCTGGACTCCTTGGGGAACAAATATCACATCATCTGAAAAAACACTTTTCGACGACATGAACCTGATGGGGAACTCGCAACGCCACTGCATCCGCGTCATCATAATAAGGGACAAAACCAAATACGCTCCCCCACCTCCCCCCCCCCAATTGATGACAAACACTTCTCCGTCAGTGCCAATGATGGAACCGACGGCCTTTGGAGTTTAAATGTAGGCCTAGAGAGGCCGGCTTGTGGCAATCCTACAAAGTGCTTATATAAATGGCCCTAGTGCCGAAAGTACTGCCGACTACTAAAACAGTCGGCCCATCGCTGATAAAAGCAGGAGCGTCTGGGATCCTTCAGCCGTACGTATTGCAGCAGGGCAGACTTACTGAGGAGGAGGAGGAGGAGGAGGAGGGCAGATTATCCCTACTGCCAAATTAAACTGAATAGGCATCCAGTAAACTCCATGAAAAACCGTCTCCGATGGGAGAATTTAAGACCAGCGTGCAGGGTGGCAGGTGCCAAAGAGACCTCTGAAGCCTTCTCGTGGCAGTTGGTAAATGTAAGCATCCACACTGCGCAGAAACTGGCGTCATCCCCACGGACAGAGGTGGCACGGCCCAAAGATCCCACGCCCTAGGATAAAGGAAACAATGCTTTGCACCGCATCCCCTTGGTCGGTTCCTCTCTCGCTCTCATATTTGCGTGTATGCCAGCTGCACAGGTTGTCGTCCTACGACTCGCTTTACTGAATTCAAGCCGGTTGTTCGGCAACAAAACCTCCGCCCGCCACCGCTGGTTGTTGTAAGTCTTCACTGAAAAGCCGCTGTCGCTTTGATCAGGATACCCATAAGACTGCATCGCCAGAGATGCCACTAAACATGCGCGAGATTTCTCCCCCCCCCCCCACCCCCGCCTCCCATACTTTGGCACTCCATCAGTACCAATCGCACGGTCGACCTCGCTGCGCACTATGCCGACCTACGAGCGCATCTCACAGGTAACTTCGGCCTCCGCCACCTAAAGCCCTGACATCAACACCGTACCTACCCCCACCCCCCCCCACCGCAACCCTTACTCCTAATTAACAGAGTAAGAAAGTCGAACCCAGCGTCCCCACGCCGGCCGTGTCTGTTCGCTTTACCACCCATCTACCCTCCAATCGATCCCATTCTCCCTGCCCTTCAGCCAGCAAGGCGCGCGCGCGTGGACATCCCTCCTCAGCCATCTTGTCCAAAACCAGAGGCTATTTTAAGCACTTTCCAGATTTCTGGGCAACTTCGTGCCTCTCAAAACCTCTCATGCTGCCTAATCAGCTGTCAACTCCTACGTAAGACAGGTGAGCAGTCCTTTCCGGCAAATACACACCATGCCCACACAAGGAAGCATAAGAAAATTAGCCATTTTCAATTACACGCGAGAAAATCTTGACTTCCGGCGGGAAAAAGAAGGGGTTGTATGGGACTGGGAGTGGTACGACCTTGAGAAGTGGATGCGATCAGGGAGGGCGAGGTAATTATAAGTCTACAGTAGTAGTGGTTGGAAAAAGTATAGAGGACAGTGGAAGTAGAAAAGGCCAGTGCACACGAAAATTATTACGACGTGAGAAAGTGGACGGCATTTGGAATTCATAGAAGAATGCAGGAAATCTGCTAGGACGGTGTTACATCATCCAACCCGGCAGGGTGAGCAGTTGTCGTGCTACGAACCACGCAGGCGTGGATAAGACTGTTTTGTGTTTTTTGCGTTAGCTACTACCATGCCAGCAGCATAGATACTGGATAAAAGCCTAGACACACGTTTTTCGCCTATATTCTGTCGCTTAATGGCAAAGCTGTAAGGGGTTCGGCTCTTCAGTGGGTCGCCCAGCATTCCCCGTGTGCATTCTAATAGATACTTCAGTTTAGCAATTGTCACTTTTTAATTTCCTCAAAAATTAACTGCTATCTTTGAGTAGATCAATTTGTACGAAGGTCTGTAGGCGCAGACGAAATTTGATATGTGAATATTTGAGCGGAAGTCCATCACTCACAGCGCAATAACCGCCTAACATTGATTAACTGCCGACAAGCAGCTAGAAGTTTATTTTAGCGTCTTGTGATTTGCGTTTAAGAAAGTATTATCCCGCGAGCAATATATTTGACTTTGGTTATATAGGACATGACGGTACGCAGGAAAATAGTGGTCAGCGGCTCTAATGCGCTTTAAGGTGATGGTGGATATGTAGGCGAAGTTTCGAAATAGAGTGTCGGGTAATATAATCGCAAATCCATTCATTCACGGTGACAAGATGACTTTCGGACGCTCATTTTCCCATCCAAGTATAAATTAACAGGTAGTTTCGACTTATTTTCAATTCCTCCCCCCGGGTCTGTCGTATCGCACGGAATAACCGCCTAATGTGCCGTCTCTTTTTTGGGAGGGGGAGGTACATCCAGGGGAGGAGAACTGGCAAAAACAAAGCATCCTTTTGGTTCATTAATCATCGTCAGCAAGCCCTACCCCTCCGCCCCAAGTTCACCTGAAGTTTGTACTCTGACTTCTATGGTCAGGGATGCCGGCTCAGTGGTAGAAAGTTGGACTGCTTGAGGCTCAAGGACCAAAAAACTCCATATTCAAATTCCAGGTCATCCAGAGTTGATGTTGGACATAATTGGCCGACAATGGCTAATGGCGCGGAAATGACAACCCTTGTATTTATCGGTGTACTTTCCGGTGCGTTCTACATGTTCGCCATGCAAATTCCTGCGAGGGCTCTAGATTTATCCTCAAGACGCAGGGGGAATAGCACTTCCTCTACCCTGATTGACGAACGTAATTTTCGCCATATGGTTGTCCCTTAATATGCTTCAGTACGCCAGAGCAAGGAGAAGCTCGGCTTTCGTGAGTGTGTGTGTATGTGTGCAGACGTGCCCTCCAACGGGCCGCATGGTAGAAGCACTGGACCAACAAGGGGGCCATATCGGATTCCGGCAGGTGTTATCGGAATTGCGAACCGTAAAAAATGTCAGCAGTTCGAGTGCGGCGGGGGAACCGGTGACCGGCAGACGTCGCACACACTGGGACCCCTGCCGCCCCTCCCACTCACTGTTGTCGTTAGTCAAAAACCTGGTCCTTTGTTGTGCGGACCAGGCAGTCTGGAGCGGAGCGCCAAGGTACAGGCTCGGCCGTGCCATCCATCTGCGCTCTTCCCCACCGCCGGTCTTCTTGACTCTGTCTTGACACCGTGTCCAGGCGGGAAGTCGGGAAGAGAGAGTGCAGTATATGCCGAGCAAGTCTATAATCACTACAAACTAAATCACTCGCGATTCGCCGTGTCTACTTCAACTTGCTGTGGAGCACGCAGTGAACATCTTCAGCAACGACGGTCGAACTGTCATTTGCATGTGTGTGCAGAACAACCCGGCGACCTGGGAAGACCTCACCCGAAACGACCGAACTGGAGGAGGACAATGAAGATAGGCGCAGCAATCTACGAAGCCAACCGCGTCACCGCCGCTAAATCCAAACGTGAAGCTCACAAATCTCAACAGCCCCCACCTCTCAACGCCAACGCTCAACCGGGCCCCACCTGTCCACGATGTCAGCGGGAGTTCCGGGCACGCTTCGGTCTTATTGGACATCCTCCAGCATCCGGGCGGCACCACCCTATGTCTCCCCGTCTTCGTCCCCCAAATCGGCAATCAACCCTACACGCCCTCCTGGTCTTCCATTCACATTCTCCACTGCTTCAACAACTGCTGCGGCGGCTCCTATCCCCACCCTCACTTCACACAATCCCAAACAGCAAACTCACCACCGTTAACACAAGTGGTGTGGATTCGGCCCAAGCCTGCCCTCATTGAGATCGCACATTTACCTCATCCACTGGTCTGGTTGGTCACTTACAAATCCATTTCACAGAGACTGGCGACCCAGTGTCTGGAGCGTCAACCTACACAAGCCTCACCAGCCGCAACTGCCCGCACTGCTTCCCCAACATTCATTCACCTCATGACCCTACTAGGCCACGTGCGCACTCATGAAAACCTGTGGTAGACAATTACCGGCTGTACCACATCATCACATCTTCCCCCATCAGAACCCATACCACACAACAACAACATCGCTCACCGCAAACACCCGATTGCCACCCCCCATGCAAGTGGAAAGTGTGCTCCTCGGCTCCTTTTCTATTTGGCTCCTCTTCTGCGTGTGTGATCCGGGTCTGAGCCTATCACGGTGCGCCGAGCGCTGTGTCTCGGAAGGCTACCGACTGACGCCCCAACTCAGTTTACGCAGTCTGCCCAGCTGTGTGTGTGTTTGTTTGTTCGCGTGGAGTGGCGGACTGGTGGGCCGAGAGCTAGGCTGAAACGGCTCCTTCTTAAAGTGACCTCTGGCATTCCTACGCATGTGAGGACTGCATGTATCTCAGTCGCTGACTGACTTGTTACCCGGCTTTTGAAAGCTGATGGCCCATGTGAAATGCAGGGCTACATGTCACCCCTCTGGGTCTCAAGGATTGTAAGCATCTGTTATCCCCGGTCAGCAAATCATAGCCCTCGCAGCCTAGTATGCGCTGGCAGTCCTGTGACCTCTATTTGCCTGTTAGTAGATGCGCTTTCGCTCCCTCCGGGCATACAGGTCGTGAGTATGGCTGCCCAGTCATCCTCATCTTCTGACCCGTTGTGGTGTTATTGTCGGTCAAAATCCCGACCAGGTGTTTTCTGTGGACCAGGGGGTGTGGCGACATGTCTAGGTTCGGGCCCGACCGTGTCAGTCCCCTGTGCCCTCCCCCGCCTCCGGTCTTCTTGACCCTGTCCTGACATCGGGTCCAGATGGAAAGTGGCGAAGAGGGAGTGTAGTAGATGCTGCGCAAGTCTAAATTCATCACCAACTAAATCACGCGCAAGTCACCGTGTCTGCTTCACCTTGCTGTGGAGCACACGGTGGACATTGTCGGACACGACAGCAGAACTGTCATGTGTGTGTGAGTGGACTTGAAGAATTTTAAGATACCCACTCACATATCTGAAACATTGTCCTCATCGATGAGGAATTTGTTTCGGAGAGATCATGGAATATAAATAGGGGATTGTTGGATACAGTTACAAAGGTGTTTGTTTTTTTAAGTTAAGCGTCCTCCTTCCAATTATGACAATTGAAGAAGAGGTACGACCCTATGAAACCACCATGAAAAATGAATTCCTTCGACATTCCTACCACAAAGCATGGTTGAATACAGGAACAAACCAAAAACTGCCTGACGACTACACACTGCATAGACCGTTATTTTTTTCTACCTATTTATACACAGGTGGCGTGAGAGATGCTCATTCACAGGCAGTCATGCGTTTTTTACATGCTGACCGGTATTGAACTACCACGTACATAGTCTTGTCCATTTGAAGGCCTATGGAAAGCATTAGTCAGCGTATCACGAGTCTCGGCACCTACCCCATTTCGTGTATTCTGTGGACTAAGAGCTTTCCCAGGACATTCACTTAGGGCCAATTTTTCGGAACAACTAGCTCCAGTAACTGCCATCTAGCTAGCGCAACTATTTTTCAACCATTGCAAATACAACCACGCACTCCCAATAGCTTTTCTTTTGCATACAACTACTTGACCTCGTCGCCTGTGCGTTCCCCGACTCCATCTGTAAAAACCCCTATTACCACCGGTCCCTTATTAGAGATGACTGAGGTTTGTTTACTTCAGGTGGGGCTACCAAATCACATCTGACCGTTTTTTTCCTGCTGACCGGTATTGACCACCGCGCACGATCTTTTCCATTTGGAATCTCATGGAAAGTATTGAACAGCGTCTCACGAGTCCCGCCACCTACCCTATTTTGTGTTTTTTTGGACCTAGAGCCTTTCTAGGCATTCATTTAAGGCCGCTCTTTGGGAATAAACAGCTCCAATAGCCAAAATCTGGACCTGTGTCGGTCTTTTCGCCACAGCTACTCTGTTTCTGACAAGGACGCACCTGATCCACAAGTTCATCCGTCAGTCTTTTGCTTTCCTGTGATGGCGAACTCTGATAGGTTACCGAGTGCTCAGACAAATTCACGGAATATTCTGACGTTCACATGCCTCTCCTCCTTTCTATAAAAAGATGAGAAACACATCTTTTTCTCTTTAAGAGCTCTTAACATAGTCACTCTGAAAAGGTTCGACTTCAAATGGGTTACTTTTTACCGCCCAAATCAAACAGATTTGCTTATTTACCCTGGTGGACAAGCTCAGTCGCTAATGCAACTATGAATCATTCGGCATAAAATTCGCGTTGAAACTTTTAAAGACATCAAAAGAATTTTTCTTTGGATCTCCTCTGTTCTCTAAGCCATACAGATGAACTCCTGTTACAAACAACTGGCATTTAAACGTAAAAAACGTCGCTGTTTTATTTTATACAAACGAGTCTTTAGGCAACATACCAGGTACAAAAAATGCACTTCTTTTAAGAGAAAATGAAAGTACTTCAGTCCTCGGTATAACTCTCCATGCTGCATGTGTCTATAAGGCGCGACTTAAAAAGCTCTTCTGAAAATTGCTGTGCTCGTACAGAGAAAAAGCTTACCAACTATATGCAGATTGTGACTACATGGCGGTAGATTTGTGCGTAGTTTGCAGTCGACATCGTCGTGACTTTCGTAGCAGGCCTCGAAACGCCTTCGAACTCCACGATAGAGAAGTTTCCCAGTGTTAGTACGACATACTTCACACCAGTAGGTAAAAAATGCCAATTTGGTGCAATCTCTGTGAACGGTTACGTTGCTTAGCACTTCCTCATAGAGTACGTGATCCAGGTAGCAGTGACTAATATGCGTCACATCAGGCCGAACAAAATCTTACTTCAGGTTTTTGTTTGGTTTAAATGATGCTAGCGAATGGCTCGCTAATAAGACGTTCGCAAACAGCAGCAACTCGATGTGCACTAACAGCGGCATTACACACGTTCTTTAAAAATCGATAAATACGATTTCCCAAGGTCGAGGCCATTACCGCTTTAAGCTTCCACCAATCAGGATGTTGCGAGGACGCTTTAAAACAAAAGTTATCTGCATCTAGCGACAATGTACCCATAGACCGCGCGCTTAATTAAAGACGCATTCGCCAGACCCTTTTCCCCGAAATCGCAACAACTTCACGCGCTGCAGTTCCTACCTGAGTATCCAGTCTTGTTCCGTGCTGAACAAGTTGATTTTTGCCATCTGGATAGCCATAAATTTTCCTCTGTAAGTTAGATACATTGCAAACAGCGACATTATAATAGCAGAAGGGCCCTGATCGATGACGTTATAGGACACACTGATTCCAGTGTGTCTTGAGACACAATCACGAGTCCCGTCATCTGTCGCTAAACAGCTTTTATTATAGGCAGAAATACATTACCACAAAAATTAATTAAATATAGACCAATATTTGTGCATCCGGCCAGGGTCTGCAACACCAAGACTTGGGAAGGTGGCCTGCAGTTAATAAAAATTTGAAAGTTGTACTCTTCAAAAAAGTCAGTTTTTGTACACAGTGATGAGAAAACATCCTTCTGCGCGACTTAGGTGACGGGAGACGGTAAATATAGTGCTTTTCCGTTTAATCGCAGGTATTTAGTGGACAGTGTCTACTGAGTGGACGCGGAGGAAGTGTTCCAAGTTCTCGGTCGAGTTTCGATGAGATAACAAGAGTCATTCTGACAACGCTTACTTGAATGAGTAAATGGAATGACAAGACGTCCGCACAAACCTACCTTGTGAGAACAGAATACCTCCATATAGACCCTGCAATTGTCATGAAACGGGGCACAGCGTGACGGCGCGTCGTTTAAGGATGATTTTTATAGAAAATGTAGGAGCCGGAACCGACGTTATTTCTCCAAATAGGCAAAGCTGAGAGATCTGGGGTGGTAATTCGAAAAACAGGATGGGATCACCGGAACAGGTTTATTGAACTTCTGACGTTTGGAAGAAAGTAGACCAGAACTCTCAGCTTGCAATGGGCAACGGAGAAACTGGCCATTATTTCAGACTTAGGGGATTGACCATTTTAGGCGGAGTTAACTCAAGGACGGAACGACTTACACCTCAGCAGTGACGCTCAAATTCCCAATCCGTAAACAGGCATCTCGACCTGTCGGCGATTAAAAAGTCCTGCGTCATTATTTACACAAAGACCAAGGAAGGACGGTTGGGTGATGATTGCCAACGCATACAGCTCTGAAGCCCGCCAAACATCCGTCAAAAAGCCAAGTTTGTGAAAGAGGAAGAAAATAAATTGGCCTTTGGACGACTACCGTCGTACGACGTTGGCACTTCTGCCCGAATTCGCGCATTTAACGCTTTGGCAAAAGCGAGCCGATCAAGCTCTCCAAAACGTCAGCAGTTCAATAAATCTGCTCCGATGAGGCCTTCGTCATTCTAAGATGTTATTTACAGTAAGTGGGCTAACTCATGAAATGTCAAACGAAATTTCGAGCTGCGTTCTTGTTTCGAAAAGATTAATTAAGTAGGGTTGTAAAATTAATCACCATACAGCATAATTCTACGATGATCCAGTTACTTCGGGGTGTCTGCCTTCGAATAAATTTATTTCCGACTGCATGCAAGAACTATACTCTGCAAAAAATGAATACTTAAGTAGCATGCAATTTTATCATTAATTTTCGATGTCCTCAAAAGTGTAATTTTATTTCATGGAAAGCATGCATCAAATATCCATTCTTTTACTTATTTGGTTGAAAATGACGTCTTCTTCCGATTTCACATTCGAAAGAAGGATATAATTCGATTTCGAAAAAGTTTCTAATAGTGAGATTTTTAATGCCGTGCAATGGCCGTTCATAAAACCTCACGCCTCTGAAT